CTGATTTGGCCTCTAATCCTTGTAGGTAAATCATGAATAACAAGGTTGACAGGAAACACCCCTGCCTAAGCCCCCTCTGCAGGCTTGGATACCTGTTTTTCCCACTTTATGACTACCTTGCTACCTTTATAAATATCCTTTAAAAGATTAGTGACTATATGTTCCACGCCTAGTGTGTCCAGTATTCCCCACCATTCCTCTTGAACCACGCTATCGCACGCTCCCTTGATATCCAAAAATGCTAGCCACAGGGGCCTGTGTTCCTTTCCTGCTATTTCGATGCACTGCGTCAGTAAGAACAGATTGTCTTCTAACCTCCTGTGTTTCCGAAACCCATTCTGCAGTTCCACCAGCACCCCCTCAATCTCTATCCATGCCTGCAGTCTTTCCTTTATAATCTGCATCGCCAGCCTGTAGACCACTGATGTCACTGTTATAGGACGGTAGTTGTTTATGTCAGCTTTGTCCTCCTTTCCTTTAGAGATCATGCTCATCCTGCTAAGTTTCCATCGATCGGGAACTTCACCATCGATTAATATTTTGCTCACTGCCTCTCTCAAAGCCTGCTTAGACTTCAGACCTATTGCCTTTATCAGCATATTTGGAAAGCCATCTGGGCGTGTTGTTGTACTAATAGGAACCCTTCGCTCAGCCCTTTCCCACTCTCGTTGTGAAAATGGAGCCATTGCACCACTTGAGTTGTCCTTGTCTATTGTCAATTGTGATTTGTCCTTGTCTATTGACAATTGAATTGACAGTCATGTCAATTCAATTGACACTTCACCTCAATTCGGAAATTTGCTGTATGCTGGAAAACTATCTTAACTTTATCATACGAAATTATTGGAATGTATGCATGGGTTGTATGCTTCTAGTTCAGTGTAATTTCGATTTTACGCCATTTCAAAAGATATGCACTACACATTCTTCATGTATGGTGCTGCCGGAACAGCACGAACATGATTTTATGAGAAATCATATTTGCTCTTATTACAGGACGAGAGGGTGCCGCTGACGCCCTGCGTAGTCTACCCCAACCACAGCCCAGAGCAATCCTAGTTCCTGAACCTCCACTTGGATGACCTAAAAATCTTCCGTGTCAGTAATGTCGAAGAAGGAGTGACAGCACTGATGAGTTGATTTTTTCTATTTTCAACGTTGTCTACGGCCGCAAGGCCTTTAACAACAACCACCGCGACAGAGCGGCTTTTTCTCGGCGTGAGTTTGGAGTTTATCAAAGAAGTTGTTCAGGCAGTACGACGCTGAAAATTTTAGTGTCACAATGCCTGAACAACTTTTTCTAGTGTGGTCGTGGTAGCTGAATAAATATTGTTATTTTTGCAAGTTATTTTGCTTAAATATAGTTGGACCGTTCTATGCCAAACATCCCAGCCACTTTGGCGACCATCTGAAATGTATTTGAAAGAAAATGTGCTGACTTACTGCGTTGAAAACAGTTAACTGCTTGAATATTTCAGCGAGAAAAAAAAAGTTTTGTTTGTGTGGCTGGCTTCTAAACTTCCTGGCATAATGCCGTCTGCGTGCTGTTTGTAGAAAAGTTGACTTTAAAACTAACGCTTATTATTTCTGAAGCAAGTTCGGTCTACATGTTAAGTAAATGTGCTTGTGTAAGGTATTTGAAGCTCAATTATATTAGTGCAATTTTTTTGCCACATTCGCTTCCAAGAATCAAGCCACAATGTGTTATGTTTGCATTTTTTATTGCAATATTGCACTTTGTATGAATATCTGTGCAGTGAATACTTACTCCACAAAAAGTATATTTTGAGGAAAAAAGTATCTTTAGACCTCTCAAGCTGCTGAAATTAACGAGAAAATATCACGAATGTCACAAAATTGTGATTTTTGTCCGTATTAATATGCAATTTGCTCCATGTTGTGATACAAGGAAAACTCATCATTATAATAAATTGTAGAAAAATAAAATTCTTTTCGTAATAAAAATCTTATCACAAGAAGGACAGGAAAGAGTGCTGTCAACTGAATTTTATTGAAGGTGCTACGAGCGTTTTTATACTGAGCACAAGAACAGGATTCATCTGCAACAACACGTGTGTGACCATGATAAAATACTTTTAACCGAGAAAAGAATACTCTCTTTCGGAAAAGATGAGTGAAGGTGTACTGATGCATTGATCCTTGGCCTTCCTGATAAAAATTTCTAAAATCTCTCATTTTTTCTCCTTGTTTTTTTTGAAAACCGTGTTTTATGAAACCTAGTACTGCACTTACATTCTTTTAGGTGTCCGGCCATGAAACTACTATAGCCCTTCTTAACACTTAAAGCATGCTGTCTTGCTCGATCATTGAAGCGTTGCCCAGTTTGTCCTATGTTTATTTTTCCACATGTTAGCGGTATCTCATACACATTAGATTGGCGTTCAGTAAACTATTCTAGTGACGAATGGTGCAAGATTGACCATTCCTGTTGCTGTAAATACATGCACTTTTGAAAGCTTGCAATGGGTGGAAGACAACAATATGATATCTGCTGGCTCTTTTCCTAAAATTGTGAGACACCTTATGTATGTAGTACCGTGTAACATTCAAAGGTCATTGGTCATTCTGTTTTTCCTTTGGTCCTGTTTTTTTAACTTTACTTTCTGCAGGAGGGTTTCGCAAACGAGTGTGATGATGCTGTTGGGGTATTGGCTGGTGCTATCAGCCCAGGAGTGCTAAGAATGTTCTGCCTTTTGATAGTGGGCTTTCAAAACCAGTAAAAAGAGGAATTGACACCACATGTATTCAGGAGACCCTTCAGAAGTAATGTTAGCACAAGGGTGAGGTCAGGCTTAAAAACCAGATTAAAAGACTAAAAGATGCTGGATATCCCAACAAAATTGTCACACCAGTTTGTGAAACCCTCCAGCAGAAATTAAAGTTAAAGAAGACAGGACCAACAAAAACAGAATGACAAAAACCTTTGACTGTTATACCACATAACGTGTCTCACAAATAAAAAACATAGCCAGCAAATATGATGTTAACGTGTTGTTTTCCACTTCTTGCAAGTTTTCAAAAGTGTGTTTACGATATAGCAACAGAAATAGTCAATCTTGCACCATTCGTGACGGGAATAGGTTTATTAATGCCAATTTAAAGCTTGTAGACGTATTTTTGATCAGAAAGGGCAATGATTCGTGCATCACTGCACGTTCACTTATCCTGTCTGAGTGGTAGTATTCTTTTCTCAGTTAATATTATTTTGTAGTGGTCATACGTGTCATCGCGCATGAGCACTGTTCTTGTACTCCGTATAAAGGTGCTCGTAGCACATTCGCTAAATTCAGTTGAAAATCGGTGCTCTTTCCTGTCCTTTTTGTCTCTTCCTGAAGTTGTCGCACTGTGACTAGCACAGAACCACGATGAACCAACTCGCCCAAATTAAACTCTTGTTACTTAATACGTAGTCCGAGTTTCATATAGAAAGAAGGGGCGGTGCTTTTAAAATAAAATTTTCACATACAACACTTAGATGGCATTTCTGGAAGTTCAGAAGGCAGCCACGTGACCAAATATTTTTCCTCTCCTAAATATTCCAGAAGTTCACTATTTTCAATGCAGCACGAGTTTTTCGAATACCCTTGAGATGGTCACCAAAATGGCTGGGACATTTGGCCTAAAATGACCCAGCTGTGTCATTAGCCATGATTATGCATTACCTCTTTTGTTTTTGTGTGTCCTGACTCAGCTTTGTGTTTGTTTTTAGCTTATTTTGTTTCTGATCATTGTATTGGTTTTTTAAGTATTCGCTAAAGTCATATGTGCGAAAACCCATATATGTTTGCATGTACATCATTTCTCATAACCAATTGTTATACATCCAGGAATACAAAGCTTAAACCACTGTGATCGTATACATTTGAAAACACTATCGGTATATATTTTCGTGTGCATCGCTTCTTGGGAACGATTGTGTACATGAAGGCGTATATAGTGAAATCATGGTGATTGTATATATTTGAAAGATTTATAAGTATATATTTGCCTGTATTTCATTCCTATTAACCGATTGTGTACATGAAGGAGTATTAAACTGGAAAGCACTGGGATTGTAGATACTTGAAAGAAATATAGGGATAAATTAGCGTGTATTTCATTTGAAGTCGCTGTGTACTTGAAGCAGTATACTGATCTGAAACCAGTGTAATTCTATGTTTCAAAGAATTGTCAGTAAAGTGAAACTGAAAAATATAATAAACATTTGAGGTGCTGCGTGTGTAGTGTACGTGCACGTGAACATGTTACACATCTGGTGACCATGTTGTGTGGCAGAAGAAAAGTTCATAGGTTTTATTTGCCCTATTAAATAAATGCAATATGCAAGGGCAGCAAGGCTTAGCTTTCTGTAACGCGCATTATGCTTATACTGTGATGTATATATATATACGGCAGAAGTTCATACACGATTGTACGTGTTTATATTTTTGCCCACACGCAATGAATGGAGCTCGACAGGTGGCACACCATTAATAATCAGGACCACTTTCTTCAAGTAGTGTGTAATCAGTGCATGCTGATATTTATTAGTGCAGTCTAAAAGAATACTGGTACCCTTGCTATGGGCACTCAACACCCTTGTGCACCCTTCTCGCACCCTCCTCAGTGGTTGTTAAAGAAGTGATCGACTTTGAAGGCACCCTACTTTAAGGGTGTTTTAGTAACACCCTACAGTTTTTTACATGTACACCCTATTCTAAGGGTGCATGGACAAGCACCCTTTTTGGAAGGTGTTGAATTAACACCCTTAGGTTGTCGTCCATGGGACAAGCTCATTTACACCCTTCTGGGTGTAAAAGTTTTTACTGTGTATGCAGTAACTCTAGAAAACGTGAATGAGTGGCGCCATTTGGTGTCTTCTTTCGAACAAGATGGCATTAGTGGAACCGCCTCCTTACGCATGCACCTGGTGTTCCAAACACATGTTTCGGAACACGCAGTCCAGCAGAGTCCTTATTCTTACGTGAAATTATACTCACTTGGTGACCTTGAATATTCGCAGCAGACGCACGCAGCGAAGCACGGAGACTCCCAGCGGAGGCATGATGTCAGTGTAGGTGAAGACCGTCTCCAAGATGGAGCTGATCACCACAAAGCAGTCGAATCGATTGAACAACGACACGAAGTAGCCCTGAAGACCGAGGCTGTACAGCTTCAGCAGCATCTCCAGTGTAAACAGCACCACGAAGAACATGTTCGCCACGTCTGCACACACAAAAAGAACACACAATTATCGCCAGACTGACCCCACGCTCCGCTATAGAATCCTGTCCTGTGCTTGCTGCACGCAAACTTCTTAATCCCATCAGCCCACACTAATTTTCTCTCAGGTAATTGCCTTCCCCCCAGCTGACCAGCGGTTGTCCTGACTACGCGCTGCGTGATCTCCCATTTCTTCTTTTTGATTTCAACTATGATGTTTGTTCCGTGACCCGCTCTGCTAAGTACCTGTCTCTTAGGGTTATACACCTATCATTCTTTTTTCGTTGTTTGCTGAGCCATTCTCCATAGAGGTTAAACCCTTTTCTAAGTCTCCAGGTTTCTGCTCCGTAGGTAACTAACGTAAAGATGCAGCTGTTGCATACCTTCCTATCGAACGAGATTGTGCCAGTTATTGCCGCTTATGCGACAGATATCCTGCCCTGGCTGATCCACAGAACATAATGTGGAGCTGTCGACACAAAACGCTTAAGGTGCTACATATGTGAAGTGTAAGCAAATCGGTGACCTTACTTATAAAAGGAAGGGCAAATTAAAATAAATGCTGGGGTTTTATGCGCAAACATTGTTTATGTCTATGCTGGACGCTGTGGTGAATTACCTCAAACTAATTATTTTGACTTCGTCGATGAGTAACAGCAAACCTTGATGAAAAGAGCGCTGGCGCGCGTGCTATTTTTACACACACCGCTTTTAGACGACACTGGACAGCACGAAAACCAATGATTCAGGGGTACGCGCCACTCATAATGTGTTAAAATCACTCAGCGAAGTGTAAAGAGCTGGATGTTTGCAGTCATTGCAAAAGCCTGGCAGCCACTGCTCATAGGCGGGGCGATGGCTTGGCTATTTTTAGCACAAGTTGCACGCAGCTAATGGGGTTGCTATGGCAGCGGCGGAACAAGGGTTTTTGTTAACGAATGTCTTACTGACAGTTTTGAAGAACTGACACGAAATATATATATATATATATATATATATATATATATATATATATATATTGTGAGAATTCATTGTACGTCATCTTCTCATCTATCAATAACCATCATCAGTCTTCGGCCCGTTCCTCTTCTTGATCGGCGCCATCTTGCTGTTGCTTCAATAAAGCGTCAGCTGCACCGTTGTATTTCAAGTGGTGGAAGGTGCTTCCCGATCTCTTCGACCTCTCTCCATCCAAAGCCAGCTCCTGGAGCTCCGTTCGGGACGTCGCTTGCGCCAGCAGAGGACCATGGCCCAAGAGCAAGCCCAACCGAACCACCCGCCGGCGCAACCACCAGCCGCCAACCCTAGCCCGGTCAACAACCCCCCTCGGGAGCCTCCAATCTTCTCCGGTCTGCCTGGCGAAGATGTCGAAGACTGGCTCGACAACTATGACCGCGTAGGTGTTTACAACAACTGGAACGAGGCATCGAAATTAGCACGCGTCCAGTTTTACGTCTCTCAGGTTGCCAAGACGTGGTTCCTGAACCATGAGAGCGACTTCCGCGATTGGTCTTCCTTCAAAGACCAGCTCCGACGCATTTTCGGTACACCGACCGTCCGTTCAGAAGTTGCTCGCAAGAAACTGGCAGAACGCGTTCAACATTGCGGTGAGTCCTACACTTCCTATATTGAGGATGTGCTTGCACTTTGCCGCCGTATCGACGACACCATGCCAGAAGGTGATCGTGTCCGGCACCTTCTGAAGGGTATCGGACCCACCGCTTTCAACGCCCTCGTCGCACACAACCCTTCGACGGTTTCCGACGTCGTCTCGGTATGCCAGCGGCTTGATACCTTGCAGTCAACCCGCCTACGACCCGACTTCTCTGAGAACCCCCTGGCAAACAGTATGGAGCTCCGATCCATCATTCGAGCCATAATTCGTGAGGAATTGCAAGCCTACAATTTACCTCCTTCTAACAACGTTCCCGCTCAACCCGCCTCTAGCGATCTGCGTGGAGTTATTAGGGAAGAAATGTCAGCGTTTCAAAGCACCCACCGTGCTCCACCATGCGCCCAACCCCCTTCGTATGCACAGATCGCTGCAATGCAACCCTCGCCGTCTCAAGTACCACCACCTGTACCTGATCACGAACATCTCGCACCTCTAGTCACCCGTCCACCGAACCCTACCTACCATTCTTCCTGGCGGGCCCCACGTCCTATTTGCTACTACTGTGGAATTCGAGGACACATTTCCCGGGTCTGTCGACGTCGGCAGCAAGATGAACGTCGTGGTTATGCCGCTTTTGGACGAGACGACACATGTGCTCGTGGTTACTACCGTTATGCCGACAGTCCTTCCAACCACCGATCACCGTCTCCTGTGCGCATTTCCAACACGACCAACAATACACGTGCATCCCGACCACGCTCCCCTTCGCCACTCCGACGCTCTGTTTCACCACTTCGGCCTGTCTCTCAACTGGCTGCCCAGCGATCGGAAAACTAAACAGTGCAGTTTTTGAAGGGAAAACTGCATCGCGGCGAAATGACCCAAGTCCTCCTGAACGACCGTCAAACATGTTATTGGTAACTGTGGAAGGTGTGCGGGTGTTGGCTTTGGTGGACACGGGAGCAACTATTTCAGTTATGCGTGCCGACTTGTGTTCTCGATTGCGGAAAGTGAAGACACCCTACCTTGGATCATCTTTGATTGGGGCCAATGGAGCAATAATTAGACCATCGGCCCAATGTACAGCGCGTGTCTTCATTGATAGTATTCTTCATCACATCACCTTCGCTGTCTTAATTTCATGTGCTCATGAAGTAATTTTAGGTTGGGACTTTCTCTCATCAGCATCTGCATTAATTTCTTGCCGTCAACATGTAGTCGAAATGACCGAGACCGACCACTGCAGCGAACACGTCGACGAAAAACCATTGCGTTTCTTCACAGCTTCCGAATCCATACTGCTCCCGGGTCAAGAGCAACTCATCACCATCACTTCTCCGAATATTGCGAATGGTGACGTCCTTATCACCCCTTCCAGCAGCTGTCTAGCTCGCGGCGTTGTAGTCCCCTCCAGCCTGGTGCGGTTCAAAGACCGTGCAGCGATAATCATTGGCCTGAACCCTACCCCAGAGCCCATCCTCCTACCCCAAGGTTCTGCAGTGTCATGTTATGTGGATACCCAACCGGTATCTTTGGTCTCTCTTCACGCCTTGACAGCTCAGCCACAACAGGCCCAGTCTGTTATTTCCTCCTCCTTTGCTCCCGGGATAAATCCTGACCTTTCTGCTTCTCAGCGTGAGGCGTTGCTGAATTTGCTCAGGAAACACCAGGCCTCCTTCGACGCCAATGCTTCGGCACAAGGACAGACCACAGTTGCGCATCATCGCATCGACACTGAAGGTCAGACTGTTGTACGCCGTCGTCCCTACCGAGTCTCCTTGGCCGAGCGCAAAATCATCGAGGAGAACGTGACCGATATGCTAAACAGAAACATCATACGACCCTCTACCAGTTCTTGGTCATCACCCGTTGTGTTGGTACAAAAGAAGGATGGATCGGTACGATTTTGTGTTGATTACCGCGCGCTCAACAAGATTACCCGAAAGGATGTATATCCGATGCCCCGTATAGATGATGCACTTGACTCATTGCAAGGCGCCCAATACTTCTCCACCCTTGACCTTCGGTCCGGGTATTGGCAAATACCAATGGACGAAGCAGACAAAGAAAAGACCGCCTTTTCTACGCCGGACGGTCTGTACGAGTTTAACGTAATGCCATTCGGTCTATGTAATGCTCCCGCCACATTTGAAAGGATGATCGACACTGTTCTTCGTGGCCTCAAGTGGAAAACTTTTCTATGCTACCTCGATGATATCGTCGTGTTTTCTTCCACTTTTGATGATCATCTGCAACGCCTAGATCAAGTGCTCACATGTCTCTCCAACGCTGCACTTCAACTAAACACAAGGAAGTGCCATTTTGGCAACACAGCTATAAAAGTTCTAGGACATCTCGTTACTAAAGATGGCATCCAGCCCGATCCGGACAAAATTTCCGCAGTCCTCAACTTTCCGCGACCCTTTCGTTCCAAAGAACTACGCAGTTTCCTTGGACTCGCATCGTACTTTCGCCGCTTCATTCGCAACTTTGCCACTATTGCCGCTCCTCTCCACAAGCTCCTTGCTAGTACCGGTTCCTTCGATTGGAATGATCAATGCGAAGCCTCATTTCAAGAACTCAAGCAGGCACTGACATCCCCACCGGTGCTTTGTTATTTCGATGACAAGGCACCCACGATATTACACACTGACGCGAGTGGACAAGGAATCGGCGCCGTACTGCTCCAGCGCGACCATGCCTTTCGCGAGAAAGTTGTCGCGTATGCAAGCCGCACTCTGACCACTGCAGAGAAGAGGTACTCGATAACCGAACAAGAGTGCTTGGCTGTTGTCTGGTCCATCCAAAAATTTCGTCCGTACCTACATGGTCGACATTTTACTGTTGTGACAGACCACCATGCCCTTTGCTGGTTGTCCACAATCAAAAACTTGTCGGGACGACTTGGCCGCTGGATTCTCCGATTACAATCTTATGACTTTGACGTCATCTACAAGACTGGAAGACAACATCAAGATGCCGACGCTTTGTCACGATGCCCTTTGCCGCAGTTTTCTGAGCACGTCACATCCCCTTGTCAAATTGGCTATACGGAGGACGCCTCGTCGATATCATCAATTTCTTCCCTACCTTCATCCACCCGTCCGTCAGCACTTGCTACTCACCAGCGAGCCGATTCTTATTGCACTGACATCAATGGTCGGCTTACCGGTGCTTCGTCTTCCCCTAATGCCAGGCTCCGGAAACAACTCCGACTATTCAAGCTGGAGGACGATGTGCTATATCGATACATTTTGCACCCGGAAGGCCACCGATGGGTTCCCGTCGTACCACGCGCACTACGCACTGAAGTTCTGTGCGCTTCCCACGACGACCCGACGTCAGGACACTTGGGTTACTACAAAACATACGAACGCATCCGCAGTCG